TTTATATGGCGTATTTGTTTGAATGCCTTTGGGAAAAAATATGGAATTAAAGTATCGAATTCCCACTCAAGTTTTTAATCTTCGATTCATTAATTTTGATAAATAATTTACCCTTTTAAAAGGTAAATAAAATGTATAAATTAACATTTTCAAAAGAAAGTTGTAAAAATAATAAAGAATATATATTTAAATTTTATCTTTCTCTCCTTCTTTTTTTTAAATGTGAAAAGCAAAAAGACACACATTAAAATAGTTTAGAAACAATATAAATAATGCTTTTATTAATATAAAAGTGTATTTTGTTAAAATTATAATTGATCATGAATGCTAAATATAAATAAATAATAAATATTTTAATAAAATGTAATTTCAAAACATAAAAACTCAAAATAATATAATATAAATAATATTAAAAAAAAATAAATTAAATTAAATTAAATTATTATTATTATTTATTTATATATATATATATATATATATTTTAATATAAAATAAACTAATAGATTTATGTCAAATACTTTTTAAAAAATTTATAATGTAAATTTCTTAATTAAAAGTTAATTTTGAAGATGTTATAAATATAGTAATAAAGAATGTGATATCATAGATGACTTACTTACTTACTCTAAAGGCATAATTTTTAAGTATATCTTCCCCCCCCCCCTTAAATGATCTTATCTTAAATTTTGTAAAATTGAATGTGTTATTAAGGACATAATAGAATAATTAAAATTAAGTACCTAAATACCTATTCATAATTGACTTTTAATTAAATGGTCTGTTTGCGAATTTTTATTATATATTTTTATTAATCCCTTTGCTTTTTAATAAGATAAATAAAACTAAGTGAATTTTTTTTTAAACATCTAATTAACCTCATCTCACTCAACCACAAAAAAATAATAATACAACTGAATTAATTCCTATATAAATGATAATGTATTTTTTGTTATATAATTTTAAAATAAATTTAAATACCTAAATCATCCTGGAACAATTCTCCGGCTCCCTGCCATTCCATAATAATCTTGAAGCGTCAATTTAATACTGCGCAGTCGCGTATAACAAATATATGTTTTGATATGATAGGTTATATACATGCTTCAACACCATCACCAGAAAGGAATTAATTATAATAACGATAAATTTTCGATCGTATATGGATTTTCATCTCATCCCTTCCATCCAATGATTCTTGTGTGACTTTAAAATAAAATAAAAAATTGAAAAGAAATTATCATAAATTTACGAGTTTTTATAATGTATCATTTTTTTCATAAAAATTTTTATAATTACAATCCCATAGGGGGTTAAAGGATAAAATTTTTATGTTAATTTTTTTTTTAATTTTGTAATTATAATTTAAACTACTTGTAATGCTTGCTTACTATTTTTCATATTCACATGGTGAAAAAAAAAGACATTTTTCATATAAAAAATCTTTTCTTATCTATTGAATTTCATTGTTTTTTTTTATGTGTGACCCCAATTTTATCATCAAATCTTTCTTTTTCTCTACTGTGTATATCATTTTATTTAACTTTTGGACATCTATTCAAGATTAAGGATGCCTTGTATTTTATAGTGTCAAACTTGACCTATTGCATTAACCACAAAAAGTAACGCAGTTAATAAACACGTTAATCGTTACTTTAGATTTTTCTTAAAATATATTAAAAAAACTTTATTGTATAATAAAATTATTTAAATTAATTTTTTAGTCGAGTTTTTAAGTCAGAATTAACCACCAAATTCCTTCCTTTTTATTTTAAAATTTTGTTGTTAAATTTATATTCAAGATAGTTAATCTAATGAATAGTGAATCAATCAAGATGTGTTAATCTAATATTATAATTTATTTTATAAAGGATATTGTTTCGATGGTACGTATTTCTTCAGGTGAAGATGATTTAATCTGATCCGATCCCAATATGAAACCTTTTTTTTACACCAATAAATATAATTAAGAGTATACAAAAGTCTGCACTTTGTAAAACTGTTTTTTCCCAATTCAAATATTTGTGGGATGAACATGGGCAAGGAAAAAATGGGAATATATCTGATTAAACTAAACCGATTATAACAAGATGAAATTCTTTTTATAACTCTGTGAAGTTTATAGTTTTAATAATTGCATGAACTGCAATTGTAAATGCCAATGAAAGGCTGGTTTCAACTGCATAAGTCAAGGACGTCACCAACGACATTTATTAATAAACAAATTATTAAGTCTCCTATTAAAAACAACTCCGTATACCGAATACTATAGAACCCTGCAACCTCTTAACAGATGATAGCTAGAGACCCGACGGTCTGGCAACTATCCCCCTGGGCCATGGGCAAATTCCTTATTTGGGATTACACATGAGTCAGAATAAAAAGAAACTTCCCCACTGATATTAACAGCAACCTGCTTACTCAAGCAGAGAATAAAAAAAATAAACAAATATAAAGTCCTTAGCAATTCTATATTCTCACCAATAGCTATGTCCACCAACGGACAGTTGGCTCCTTTAACTTTAGCTTTTTGAAAAATTTGGCTCACAAAATCGAATCCTAAACACGTGAACCAAGAGAATTCCCATTCCTCAGAACAGAACATACAAGGTATTTCAAATTTAAATAGACTGACATGCTCCTGTATCCAAAGTGCCCCGGTATTGCCTTAATTCTTTTATAATAATGAGATTTTTTTTTAGAAATTTTTTTTTAGTTTGATTTGAATTTGAACTCCTAATAAACAAACTAGAGAAAAAAAAATAGTTCTATTAATCACGCATGTGATAAATGATTTGTAATAAATTAAATTAAAATATAAATAATAGATTTTGATGACAATATAAACAATTTTTTTTTGTATAAATTAAAAAAAATATGAAAATTCATGTTATTTTTTTTTTAATTATAAAATTTATTTTAAAAAACTTTTGACATTTATACTTATAATAAAATATAAATATCACATTCATTATTAAGCAAGCGTACTCTAATTCGCGAAACAAATCATGTTATATTATTCCTATTTTTATAAATTATCTTGCTTCCTGCTAAAAAAAATAATAAATAAAAATTTGTATCGATGGTTTTTAGCTTATCGGTTATAGCCTGAAATCGGCTTCCTGAAGTCTTGTCATTTAAAGACACGTCAGAGATCTGTGGGAGATAAAATTGGGATTTGACATCTTGACCGTCATTTGGTGGCAAACTTTGTCGTCTTACCAATATTAAAAAATATTTATTTATTTATTAGAGATAAATTTAGAAATCGAGCTCAAAACGAACCGTTTAACAGCTGTACTATGGGAGTTCGATGCGACATAATATTGTTAAGAAGTCATTAGTCGATCCGAGAAATAAGAATTCGATTTATAAAATTCGGATTGGTTCTAATATTTAAGATATGACTTTTTCGCTACAAAAATTTGGAGTGATTCGATACAAATTAAGAAACTAGGAGCTTAATTTTTAATTTTTATAATATTATTAATTAAACAAACTTAAAATTATAATTTGTATAGGTAAATGTAACGCACTTTTTTTAAGTAACATTAACATTGTAATATATGAGTAAAAATTTTTACGATTATTATTATTCTCTTTCAAATGAAATAAAGAGAAATAAATTTTATATTATTTGAAAATATGGAGCTTCCTTGAGCCAACATTAGATAACAAAAATTTACAATTATACTATCTTTTTTTTTTCTTGGCACTTTTAATTACCTTTCCTATGAGATGTAAAATGGATAAAAAATATGATAAGATTTACATCCTAAAGTATGAATATAATGTTAAACTCAATTTTTTCTTCTTAATAATGAGCGCAAATCGAACGTTTAAACGCAGATTTTCAAAACGCAAATAATGCATTTTAAATGCATTTTTGTTTTAAATTTAGACGCTTTCCTATTAAAAAAAATATATTAACGCTTCAATTCATATATAGTTTTACGTTTGCGTTTTTTTAATTTGCGCTTTTGAAACGCTGCGTCGAACAATATGCGCGCATTGTAACTTCAATAGATAAAAATTTAAACATGAATTATAAGCATTAAAATGTTTGTTTGTATAATTTATGCATTCTTTAATTACGAATATTGTTAGTTTTAATACCTTTTGTAATCACCCATTCATTGAGTTGCCATGGAGTAAAAAAAATAATAAAATATCATATTATAGATCACATGACACATTATTTTAAACCAGAGTTAGAAACACATTAAGAAGGGGGTTCGGGTTCTGATAAAATACGGTTATAGTTTTTCGAGTTTTCCTAAAAAACCTTAAAGTTCAAATTATTCTAGGTTCCTTTGTTGTTGGGCATAAAAACATAAATCCAGGAAATTTAGGCTAAATATCTCTTATAGGATGTTAACTCGCCATTGAAATTAATTATTGTAAACTGCTGAAAATTTTAAAATTCACCTGGTTCATAAATATTTTGAAAGGTTCAAGTTCCGGTTCTTATGTTTTCCCCCAAGTTCAACCTGGTAATTAAAAACACTTCTTTGAACATTTATTCTCTGAATATCTTAGTATATAACCCCCCCCCCCCCCCCACCACACACACACATTCTTTTTAAAAAACAAAAGACATGATAATTATTAATAATAATAATATTAACTAATAACGATTGAATAGTTTATAGACCTTCTGTTCTCTCCATAAAGTAACAAAGTTTTATTTATATCATTTAAATGTAATATTATTTATTATTGTGAACTAGTATTCTGAGAGTTATTCTATTTTTAAAAATATTATATAAATATATATATATATTAAATTCGTGAATTACTTACACATACAACAACAATAAAAATATAAGATAAGTGTTAAATTTAACGATTCAGTGTAAAATATTATATGCGATACATAGTACAATGTCATATTTTACAGTGATGATATTATAGTAGTGTGTACCTTTGGCGAATGATAAATAATATAGTTTCAAACAACATAATGTTAAATTTTTTTTTGTTATATATAAGAGATTCAAAATTCAATTTTCTTCTGAACCTTCTATCACAAGTTTAATATTCGTTGGGAAGGCGGGGTTAATAATTATATTTATTGAATGTTTGTCTTTGTTAGACTTTGCGAATTTTTGCTTAGAATTTTTGTTTTTGTCGGAATGATGAATTCTACGGGCCAATAAGGGTATAAGAGCGCACCCTTTTTGTTCTTCAGTAGTTGCTGAACCTATTGAACCGTGATGCACTATTGGATGGTAATCTGGGGAGTCTATCTTAGAGTTTTTCAAGGGATCGATGCTAAGCCGGCTTCGGCAAGATGGACACAAACATTTGGACTCCCTACAAGACTTTAGATGTTTCCATATTACTGCTTTAACCTAAAAATTAAGTTTTTTTTGGTTATATTAAATATAATTGGTTACATACATAAAGCTAGATAGAAATATGAAAAAAAATAATTCCCAAAACTAAAAAATCTAAGTGTAATAATTTTTTAATCCTCCGCTCAAAAATAGTGAGGCGGATTTTTTTCGGGAAATTGTTTTCCGACTTGCCAAAAATATATAAAAATTAAGAAATTTAAATAATGTGTATAAAAAAAATTGTAACCTCGTGGTTGGAAAAACAGCAGTAAAGCGAAACTAATATTCCCTGTTTAAAGATAACAAATAAAATATTGTAATTGTTTGATTATTAGAATTTGCTTCGTTAAAACCTGCGTAGATATAAGAAATGGTAATACGTAGGATGACAATATCGTTTTGTGACTATGCGAAGGTGTGTACAGTGTTGTGATATACGAAGCTCCTAAGATGGTTGACAAACAAAAGAAACCCTTGACAAATTTGCTTATATATTTTTTTTTATCGAACGAAAATTATAAAATATTAAAAGAATAAAGTAATTAATTAATGAATGTGAATATGGCTTTTAAAATAAATAAAATATAATGATAATAGATAATGAAAAGAAAGAAAGAAAGAAAGAAAGAAATGACAAACTTACAAACAATTGTGGGTTCGTCTTTCGCTCTTAGAATAAATTTTGTCCACCATTAATTTGAGTATTTTAGCAAGTATGTAAATATTTATCTAGAAATATAGAGGATAGATCTAATTGACAAGAAAAAAAATACTAGAAGGACGATGAATATTGGCACGACATAAATGTAATGCAGAAGATTGATCTTCAAGATTAGAACGCATCTGAAAGATAAAAAAAAAAAAGATTATAATTATATATAATCTATATTTTTTTTAGTCAATTTGTGAACTTTTTTTTTCAAACTCATAATGAACCATTAGTACAATATAAATGTCCGATCTGCATTTTTTTTTATTAAAAGGACAAAATAAATATAATAATATATTATGTTAATAATATATAATATTTACGCATGGTGGTACATTATCTTGTTCGTCAAATACCAAATCACAGCAAATGCAAATGGTAGGCCTAAAAAAAAGGGGGAATGTAACAATAAAATAAGTCTACAATTTTTCGATATCTTATAATCTAAAACGTTTCTTTCTCCCTTTAAATGTACAAGTTCTTCCTTACTCATTATTCTTTCTTCTATTATAACTTGAGTCCTTGTACACTGTTGTTATAAATGGTTCATTTTAAAAAAAAGGGTTAATCCAAGATTTTTACTCAAAAAACATTATCCAAGCTTAAGAAATTATTCTCATAGATGTGTCAGAAAGACTTGGGCCTTCCATTAACGAAATCTCTAGGCTTATATAATATTATCAAGACTACAACCTCAGCTTAAAATTGGTTAAATCGAGTTGTTTAACAAAGCTAGTTCTGTATAGTATTTGGCAAAATACCGCTAATGCTGGCACAAACTTTGTAAGATACCCAAAATAATTTTTTATAATTAATAGTTTAAACATTTCAGATTCTGGATATCTCAAAAAGATGCCTCGAAACTAAATCCAAATATATAAAAATAATTGACTTAATTCTGGATGCTTGATCAAAGGCGTACAAAATCGATTTTTATAAACCAAAAAAATTGGGAGAAAGTTATTTTATAAATTGATTCAAGATAGACCAATAGAAAAACGAAATTCATGGCGGAAAAAAAAATTAATAACTTAAAGATTGCACTTTTTATATATATATCCAATTATTTTCGGGCATAAAATTATGAGTGAATTCTCTAAATTATTATGTAAACTTATTATTTATTTTAATATTCACTTAAACCAATAAGTCTAGTTGCAAAAATTCTAACAGAGGCCTAGATGTTCTGGACACTTTAAAAAATTTGAAAAACCTTTAAGAAAGATTTTTTTTTTCTTCATATAAAATCTATTTATATTTTATATAAAAACAAAATTTAAAATGTATAAATTTTCATTTATTTTACATTAACTTTAAAAAAAATTTAAAAACTTCTGATCCAGTCAAGTACAAGTTATCTGGTAAGTTCCAATTTTGACCGGATTAATATTAAAATAAAATCATATAAAAATATAACATATATTTTACATTTTCTTGCATTTATTATGCCAATCCATAACTTATTAAAATTTAAGAATACAGCCAGTTAGTGTTGTTAAATCACTAAAATTTTGTCAACTGCCAAGTTTTAATACTAAAAAAATTGATCTTAATCTTCAAGTTTAGATTCAACTTAGAAAATCTAAGTTAATTTTTTAGGTTTTAAGATGGACTAGGTCATATAGTAATTGGCAAAAGTTAGGGTGATTAAACATCACTAAATACCAGAGTTGTTTAAAGATACTTTTTAAATGGATCTAGATACAGATACAATGTCTAAAATAATATCTAGATACAGATATATTAATCAAAAATCTATCTAGATACAGATACCACATTTTTATATATCTAGATCCTTTAACAACTCTGCTAAATACAGTATCTAGTCTCCTCTCCACTCCTCCGAATCATTTCCCCCCCCCCATTTTAAATCACCTGCGGTTAACCAAATTTTCTGCCCAAAAACTGGTGTTGTTGAACCACTCGTTTTGAGCCGATTTTTTAACCCTTTGACGTCTCGCAATTTGTTTTGACATCATATAATATAATTATCAGAGTTGTTAAAAGATACTTTTTAAATGGATCTAGATACAGATACAACGTCTAATAATATCTAGATACAGATTATTAATCAAAAATCTATCTAGATACAATACAGATACCACATTTTTATATCTAGATACAGGATCTTGATACTTATGTCTAGATCTTTTAACAACTCTGATAATTATATATTTTAAATTTATAAAAGCCTATAGATTTAATTTAACATTATATAATATAGATATAATAAAAATACTTTTCGTATTTTATTAAAATTATTAACTCATAATGTTTTATTTTTAAATTTCATCCAATCATATTTCCATAATTTTATCTTTACCATTTTTATCGAATCATATGATTTTATAACGACAATATAACGAATTCTTTTGATAATATTTTATAATTCAAAATTTTTTGTTCATTATTAAAAATAAGAGTATAATATTATGAATAATTATTTTATTAAAAATCAATATGCTCTTTTTTTTATATCAACTTAAAGTGCATGATGCAAAATAAATAATTGGGATATTAGAATACCTTTTATATATTATTCTAAATCAATCAATCAGACCACACCAATTTTGTATTTGACGCTACTAAGATATATTTCCTCCGACTTACATTATAATTTTACATTTATTGTACTTTTTAAATGAATCTGTATAATTATTAGATGACAAATAATTTAATACTAGTCGAGAGAGACATTTCGGATCGATGAATCAGACAATGAAGAAGATATTTTGCGCACTTCTCACGTTGATTCTCCATCAACTTCATCAACACCAACATTTAAGAATCTTCAAGTCGAGATAGAAGATCCAGAAAATAATGATAATATTATCATCCAAAAATAATATGAAATGGAGAGCAGGTCATATCCATCAATTGGACACAAATTATTACTAATACATTTTCCACTTCAACCAATATATCAACTCCATATCTACTTTTAAGTTATTTATTTCAGATAATATACTAAATAATATACGTGAACAAAATGTATACGGTATTGTATATGACTTTAAGATTTATGCGGGAAAGCAAACTAATCCAACATCATCAGAATTAGAGATAAGTGGGGAGCTATGTATGTAAAATTGATGAAAAAGAAAATATATTAATTGCCAAATGGAATGACAATAAGTTTGCGCACGTCATCTCATCCTTTGTCGGTGTTCGTCCGAGATAAAATGTAGAAAGATCGTCACTAAGTAGCAAAAAATATATTGAAGTGCCAACCAAATATATTAAAAATATATAATGAAGGTATGGGAGGAGTCGATTTACATGACATGCTTGTTGAATGCTGTAGATATTAAAGGTAAAAGGTTCTATCTGAGAATCCCTTTTCTTCCATGGCTTTTTGTATAGGCGGCAAATATGCCATGAAAAAAGAGAATAAATTCATGAAACTTGTCAGATTTAAAACACATAATTGTCAAGGCATTGTTATCGGCAGGCAAAATTAGTAAAAGAAAATCATAGATACCTTTGAATGAACAACAATTTTTTAAAAAAAAGTTCTTCTATAATAGCTCCTATATCTGATATGAGATATGACAACATTGGTCATTGACCAAATTCCTGCGAAACGAAGCAAAGATCCAATTTATGCATAAATGCCATACTACGCATGCTCCAGAACAAAATGTGCAAAAGTAAATATAATATATATATTAACATTTTAATCAAATAGATATTTGTATTTTTTTGTATTACAATATGTCTGATGATGATGTCGAATTGCATCGTCCTTTTTTTTAACCTGTGTATTTAAAATTAATTTTAAAAAAAATTTTGGGCATCTATGGAGTGTATAAATGAATAATTTACAGAAAATTTTTTTTTTAAAATTATTAAAAAGTTGGGGGTCAAAGGGTTAAAACCATCTAACTCAATATTTTAGCCAAGAAAAATAGTGTCCAAGCCTCGAGATTACGATAATATATGTAAAGACCTTTGTTCCTTTCCATGAGGCAACAAAATTTTCCCTTCAAAAAAAATACATTTAAGAAATTTTTTTTATTTTAACAGAAAACTTACCCCATCCAATGATGTAGTAATATTTCATGGAGAACACTTTCCCCGGAATGTCAATTATCAAAACCTGGTAGAGGTATACGCCCTCCACGAACATCCAAAAGAATGTCGTAGTGTGGAAGTAGATGTAGAATGTTGATAAGGTGTTGCAAATCGAAATCTAATAAATATTCATTTTTTAAAAAAAAATGATATTTAGGTCACTATTAGTTCTTTTATTCTAATTCTTATTTTATTTCTTTAGAATGTCTTTGTTAAACCAAATATAATACAAAAATTTAACTACCGACGTAGCGTAAGGGAGAAAAATGTGGGGACGGCTACCCCTTTTCGGAAAATTTGTGTGATGAATAAAAGTTAAAATGACTACTTTTATGTATAATCTTTACATGGAAAACCTACTTAATAATCTTCCCTTCCCTACCCAAATCATGGATTTTTCTATGCGAATCACTCTGATGCATAAGATTGATTATGGGGAAAGTCAGATAGATTATATGACTTCAAGAAATAAATAAAAAAAAACCTAATAGTGAATCAGGTAAACCATGTCAAAATAGATTGGTAGTAATAGATTAAAAATAGAAATATAGACCCTAGCTCATAAACTCGAATATCTACAATTAATTGAACAAAATTAAGAAGCGCCCAAGAAACATATGCCACTGAGTTAGGAGAATCAATTTTAATTTGTAATCTGAGAGGTAGAATCTCATTACAAAAATCTGAAGAGTGACATAATAGGGTTCTTGAAAAATGCAAGTCAAGTCAATATATGAAGAGAGTAACATGATGGTGAAGAGAAGATGTTGGAAGGATAAAAGAGATCATATAAAACCTGGGAAAGATTAAAAAAGGACGAGGTTAGAGTGGCTTATATCATGGGTATAGATAAGAGAGGTGTAAATGTAAGAGATAGCATTATGAGAGATATTGTGGACACAAGATTGATAAAGGACATATCAGGGAAAGAGATAAAGAAAAGAAAAACTATTAAATAGATGGCATGAGTACAATGAGGAGCTATTAAATTAGAGACATGAAATAAAGAGAGCTCAGGAGTTTTATAAGAAGTGTTTAGAAAAGTATATAAATATTTTTAAAAATGATTTTAAAGCTCTAGTAGTGCTAATATAAATTAGACTTAGTGTTGGGCAAAGTTAGTCGACTCTTGTAAAATGTATTAGTAAGTAGTATACAAAATAAAAGGTATGATGTTCAACTGAAACTACTGGGTTATTAAATCAATGATATACATTGATAGGTAATAATATAAAAATGATTGATTAACATGTTATAGTATATGTTTAGACAAAATTCAAGAATATTAGAAAAAACATATATTTAATCAACACGGATAAGACTTTCGACGTTCAACTAATTCGGAAAAGTCTTAGGAATAACTTGCATGAAGCGTATTTCAACTTATTACAGCTAATTTTTTCATAAAAGTAAGTGTATTTCGAATATATAAATCTACACAACTCCTATTTATCAGCTAAAATAAGAAATGATTTTATTGAAAAATGATATTTTAATGATTGAATTGCACTCTGATGCACTTTAATGAGGAAAAGATAGTTGAATGATTGGAAAAAAGATAAAGAAAAACTGAGTTATATATAAGAATGGGTATAAAATAAAATAACATTTATTGTAATAATTCATGATTTGTATTGATGGTTTGAATGTAAAAATCATATGGTTTCAAATATTTAGAATCGACATTTCTAATAAGATAGAGCTTTGTACAATTAAGCAAAAGAGGGGATAACTATAGTGGACCAATGGAATTGCAAGAAGAGTATATAATTTAAACTTTAGCGATAATGAACGGAGCTGAAAGATGGAGAGGCTCTAAGGGTTTCAATAGACACAAAACTCGGTGGGAATATGAATATGATGGTGCCTTAGAAAAAGAATGGGAAAAAATATGTAGATTGACAAGTGAAACTTTTAAATAGGCAAATCTTAAAGTTAATTGGAAATCGGAAAAAGGAATGTAAGCCTATTATGATGAAAAATTATTTAGTTATAAACTTTTCCGAAAAATTTATAAATATATAATCTTGGTGAGAGTTACTTTAATTTTAGGCAAATGAATACTAAGAGTTAGTATATAGTATAGGTAATGAAAATATAAATTTGATATTATTCATAGCGCAAATATTTAAGGACCCCCAGATTCGTAGATAGCAGAAAAATAATTTTGGGTTGTGATTTATAAGAAGTTAGTTGGCATCCAAACACTTTTATAGAGAAGGATTTGTTCCTTCCTTTCACATCAGGCTTTTTAGAAATATTAATATTAAAAGGAAAATCCATCTTAATAAAGCTACTACCAATAGTATTTCATATTATAATACCCTACCCCAAAAAATAATTTTATAACGCACTTTGGACAAATGGTAAGGGCGCGGCTGATAAGGTTGTTTCAATTCCGCTAACAATTGAGATATAGATATAATCTTGTGTCCTGCTTTGGCAGTGCGGTGTCTGAAGACCTCGTAAAACAGCAGCCAACAAATCTCGCTCAGCAGGAATGACATTATCAAATGGGAGTGTATTTTGTTGCGGGAACATCTTAGCTTTCTGAGGAATCGAAATAAATGTAAAATTAAAATTTATAGGAATACTTTATTTAGCATTATTATTAAAAGAAAGTATATAACTAACCCCCTATGGGGTTAATCTCTGTTTAATTGGTCAATTTGATTAGGGCCTTCGTTATTTTTCAAAATTCCTTACCATTTTTTATGGAGATAACGTTTAAGCAGAGGTGCATTAAATGCCAACAAAACGGTTAATAAAATATTTAAATAACAAAATGAAAGTAATAATTATCATGTAAATCATACCCTTAATATAGTTTTAATTGTATCCTTAACCTTGTAAAATTGTAATTTGAATATTTGGTGGTTTTTTGGCTCTCTGAATCAATGACATTAAATGCCAAACTAGGCTAATTATTCATTTATTTAAAGTGTATATATTAAGTCATTTAGACTTAAATATCTCTTACATCTCTTAGAAATGCTCTTTTATTATACACTTCCATGTATATAAAGTTTTTATGTATTTATATGTAAGAATTATAGGTTTAGGGGTTGGGGTTAAGCCAACAAAAATGCCCACTAGTTGTTTTAATTTTTTTAAGCCGCCAAGCACACCCATCAATTTTTCTTTTTACCCTCCCATCAGCCCGTCTATCAAAGATTTGTTTAACCTGCCCATCCGCCCAATGTTAAAAAAATTATAAAAAAACCGTTGATTTTGGCTCTACATTTATTTATTGAAATGTATTTTTTTTATTTAAACTTATAAAATATGTCTCCTATTTATTATGATTATGAAATTTTTAAAAAAAAATGACTTTTTAATAATCATAATAACTCTCTTCTACCCATTTCACCCCCGAAAAAAATATTTATAATTCAACGGCCCTGTCCACCTATTGTTTTAGAAATATTTTTAAATGCGCCCACCATTCACCGACCACCTACACCCGACCTGAAAATGGACGGGTATGGGTGGTCCGGCTAAAACCCCACCCATTGCAGACCTTTAGTAGGAATCGTGTTTCAAGAACAATCATGTATGGCGGACCTGTCGACTCTCGGGTCAGGTCGGTGGTGGCATAGTCAATAAAATATAGGTCAGAAAAATATTAATGTTATATTTTTCTCTTATTCTTCCTTTTTGGATTGATTGAAGAATGTCACAATTATATAATGAATTTATAAAATAAGAAAAGTTTTTTTTTTATAAAAATTTTTAATAAATATAATTAAATAGATGAAGAGATTTCCATTCAAGAAAGAAATAATGTCAATTATAAAAGGAAAAATGTCAAGCAAAAAATGAAAAATGTCAATTATAAAAGATAAAGTGTCAAACAGAAAAATAAAAGGTTCAATCAAAAATAAAAGTGTCAATCAAAAATAAAAAGTGTCAATCAAAAAAAGAAAATCGTTAATTTTTTAAATATTTTAAAAAAAATTTTAAATATTATTTTCTTGTATCTTTTCCTTATTTTACAATCTCTTTAAGTCATTTTAATCTTTAGTTTTCTCTTTTCAATTTATTTTTCTTCTCATTTTTGATAATTCTTTTTTGTATTTTTAAAAATAATTAGTTTATTTTTAATATTTACTTAATTTTTATTTCTCATTGGCAGGCAAAATATTTTTTGATTAGAATTTTCTGCATATCAAATTATTTCTTTACAATTATTATGTATATATAGTAAGAAACAAAAATTTGTATTAATCATTAACAATTCTAATTTTGGATATCCATATTTATAATTAATTATTAGCATTCTCCATATATATTCCTATCTCTCTCCGTGCTCTATATTACGAAATGAGTCCTTCTCGTTATCCATTCAGAGTTAGCGCAAATTAGCGGCGGAGAATGCGAAAATACGGCGTATTTTGTAAAATTTGCCGCGAATTCTCGCTAACTATGAATGAGGGGGTTATTAGGATTTTGATTTTTAATACATTTTTAATGGGATTAAGATAAGGACTGTGTGGTGGTAAATATTTTACTGCATGCTCTCTTCTTTCTATCGATTCTCTAATCGTATGGTTATGATGAGATGGAACATTATCCATCACAAATAAAATATTCACCACATTACTTCCTTCAAAATGATTTAATATTTCATTCACCAAGTTGCTAAATGTGTATAGCTTTGCAGGAGCAAGAACCGAATCTGAATATTCCCGAAATCGTGATAGCAATGGTATAATTGGGACATTTTTAATAGCCTATTTACTTATTTGTAAATATACTCATAATCTAATTGATACTGAAAAACACGCTCTCATAATTGTAGGCTACATCCACAAACCAATTCGCATATTCTTTGCGAATCTCGATATTATTATTTTTTTTCTAACTGAACTTAGTGATGCCCTTTCAAAACTATACCAAAATCCTGTTAGTAACCTTGATACCGTATTTTTGATATTTCTACATCATATCTTTCCTTAATCATTTCACTTAATTTTTCAAAAGATAAAGTCCAAATTTATACCATTTATCTTTCCCGTTCTTGATTTAATTTCTTGCTCTCACATGACTTTGGCTAAACCATATTTCATTCCATTTTTGAGATGAGACTATTTTTATATTTGTTACTGTTTTATGGCTTACTTTAAAACATGATGTTATATTCATGATACTATCTCCTCTAACGGGTCAATTATTAAGGCTTTGGTTGCACTATTAATTTTTTATTCCCCTTGTTACTACCATTAGTGTTGTTAAACGGCTCGTTTTGCGCTGATTTTTAAAATGGTCAACTCAATATTTTAGCCTAAAAAATATAGACTAACACCTCGAGATTTCGATAATACATGTCTAAACCTTTATTCCTTCTATGAGCAAAATATTCAGGCTTGCCTAATATTCTTCTGAGTCAAATATTGAGTTGCCTTTTTTAAAAATCGGCTCAAAGCTGGCCGTTTAACAACACCGGTTACTACCGTATCTTCACGATTTTATTTTTAAAATATGTACTCAACAAATAGAACGAATAACAAAAACGACTGAAATTCTTTAGATTATAACATTTACCTCATTTTACGTTTAATTATTTGATAAATTAAAGAATATAGTATCAAATATAACTATAAAAGTATTATTTACTTGCTCAAAACTTTAAATGCCTCTTTTATAAATATTAAAATTTCCAAAAATAAAGTATTTTTATTAATTTATTATATATCATTTGTTATTAAAGTTTAATTTTAAAAAAAGTTCATTTGTAACCAAACGATTATTTTAATTCAGCAATTTCTTTTATGTAATTAAATAATTTGATGTCCACCAATGAGAAATTAAAATTAAATTTGAAAAATTAAAAATAAATAAATTATTTTTTAAAAAGAAAAAAAATTGAGAATAAAAACAATTGCAAAAAATAAAAATAAATAAAAAGAAAAAAGAATAAAATTAAAATTAAAATTAAAAATTCAAGAAAAATTGAATTTAAAAATATGTAGGAAATTTTTAATATATTTTTTTAAGAAGAAAAAAATACAAGTTGTTTTTGACTAGATTTGATGGAAAAAATTTCTATATTTTTTTAAATTTATATCGAAAATAAAATTATTTGACTAGCAAAAAAAATGTTTAAACATATTTAATATTTATATACTCTTATCAATTTTTACAGGGTTAAATCATTTAATTTACAAATGAATTAAGAATTATGGAAATGTTTTACGTTAAGTCTGCACAAACACTTGTAAGAGATCTCGAGGCTATTGGTAAAATTTTTTTGAAGCAATCATTTATTTAAGGTTTTTATGGAGATATATTTTTAATTTAAAAAGGCGTGGTGTTTTATTATTGGATGCTACTAAGTTAGGATTATGTCATATTTTTTTTAACTTATTTTATTTCAAAAATATAAAATGATGAGTTAGAAATGGAGAAATTAATTTACTTAAATTTGACATATTTGCAGTTAGCGTCACTAGGGGAGGGAGGAAGGCGCAGAGGCTAGAGCCCCCTGAAAAATTTGGAGAACCCTCTCAAAATTTGTAATATAAAATTTTTCTACCAAATGTAATTTTGAAAATGTTAGCTAAAAAGAAAATTATGTGCAATATTACGAAAATAAGAATATTTGCTTGTATATAAGTGACAAAGAAGATTATCTTCCTGTTCTAGGGATCTTGGGATGCTCTTAAGATCCCTCCATAAATGCTCAATACGTTGTGTATATGGGTCGATATATCATTTGGGTTTATAAAGTTTTTACCGTGATTAACCTAATAATGATTATATCCATAAAAAAATAATATTAAAAATTTCACCCAAGATTCAATGATTTACCAAAATAATTTTTTTTTTAAAGATTTTCCTTTTTTGAATGGGATTTTTTTTTGATTGGTCATTTTCCTTTTTTGTTTGACCCTTTTCTCCTTTTTTGATCGTGGGACTTTTCCATTTTGATTGATACAGTTACTTTTTTTTGATTGAATCTTTTCCTTTACTGGTTGACACTTTCCCCTGTTTTGGTCGGACTTTTTCCTAAGCCTTTGGCAATGTTTCGGTAAGGGGGGGGGGTAATGTTACACATTGTTTAATACATCAAATTTGCAAACCATCTATCCGATGATTTTCTTCCTCTCTTGTTTTGAACGGCCAATAAATTTTGTGGTACTCATTTCCTTCGCTCTTCCATCCCCAATTTTAATGTTTTATCTTAAAAAAATCTATTAATTTTTATATACTTGTAGGATAAGAGGATAAAGAAAGCCGTGGAGAGGCAAATGATCGAAAGACCGTACCCTATGAAGTATATCGTTAGGGCCGCGTTTATCTTTGCGGCAGAACGACCGCCCTCAGTTCCATAATGCTTAACGATGGACTATATACATATAAAAATAATTTTTCTGTTAAAGATAGAACTAAGAAAAAAAAATTAATTTTATAAGCATATTATGAACGTTTAAACCCTCCCCCTATTGCATAAAATAATTATATATATATATTTTTTTATAATGCTAGAACATGATAATTTCCATGGATTTGACAGATATCTATTTTATTAATTCCCATTCAAATGCTGCTACTTTACATAATAAATTAAAACTGTTCTCCTACCTTTTTTTTAAAAAACAAGTATTGATTTCCATTCATCATCATAGCTAGTTTTATCTTAATAATTCATTGAAAACTCAAAGTAATCTTAAAAATTTTTTATACAAGTTATAGTTTGTTTTTTTAGCCCACACAACATACTAAATCCAATTTGTGCACCTCTACCAACTCGATGACGTCGGCACTCTTTATAATATATTTTTCTATACACATTTCCTTGCCAAATCACTCGTTCCCTTCCCTTCTACATAAATTAATATCCATATTTACAAAAGTCTCTGTTAGAAAATAAAAATGGTCATGCTGAAGGCTGAAGGCTGATTACCTCTATTAACAAAATTGGGACCCTGAGAACACACATTAAAAATGCCATATTGTGTTCTTTATCAAATCAATCACCTTTCGCATATCCTATTTCTCCCCCATTTTCTCTACTGTATATGAGCAAAGCATCCCCTTTATATAATATTCCAGCTCTCACCACAGCCGATAACTTATTGAAGAGCAATCCTGAACTTCAAATTCTTTTCCATTAATTCACAAATTTATCAATCAAAACCAGATAATATTTTAAGAAACCCACGAAGGATCTTCTTGTGACAAAATCGTACAGTTCCACAGTACTGGGAAATGTTCTTTTTATTTGGTTTCCATGCATTTCAGGGTCCTAATGAGAGAGATAAGAATAATTTGTTCCTCGCCCAATAAATTAAAAAATTGATAAGACTTCAATATAAATAATGTCTAAAGGTTATTTATCAATCCATATAAGTTAATGGTAAAATTAGTAAGAAAAATTGATAATTGGACATAAAATGTGCACTAAATAGAGTTTTTTTTATCAGACACTTTGGCTCCCATTAATTTCAAACATTGAGTTAGCTTCGAAGTAACCCGTGGCTTAAGATAAATGCAATTCCAATATCTCATCCAGCAGAATTCTCACCAGAGGAAGCAAGGAAAATCATTTAATCTTTCAAAAAGATTCGGCTATGGATTTGAGTGCATAAATGAGGGCGGTCTATCTCCAAGATCTAAGTATCCCTTTTAAAGAAACTACGCCCAACAGTATTGATGTAGGTATTGTATTGAACTACGAATTTGTAATGACCAAAAACTACATTAAAGAAAAATAATATACATATAAAAAAATATTCTCTATTTTCAATAGGCATGTATTCAAATTATAAACATGAGATATATTAAGAAAATATAACAAAACTAAAAGGTTAATAATCTTTAAAATATTTTATCTGAATACATAACATTTATCTCCAACCGGAATGGCTTAGCCTCTCTCGTGGGATTTAATTCTTTATACCCAATCTCTATTGCAAATCTTGACTTAGCTGCATTATCTTCATCTTCTCCTTTTCAAAACTCTCCCTTTGTTCTCATTTCTCTGTTACTGTTTAATATGTTCTCTTCGTTCTAGATATCTTCAGCATTCACTCTTAGATAATATATCCTGTAAGAATGGCATGGATTTGTTTGTTTTTTGTAAAATTTGTCATTTGTATTACTGTTATGATTATACTATACTCCCTTTGGTTGTTTATTTGGTAACATTATTTTTTTATCCGATATATATTATCGTGTTTATTTGTTTATTTTCTAATTGATCGGCCGTAATTTCTTCTTTTCAATATCAATTTTTGTATTTTTGATGGGTGTTCCCTTACCCGATAGCTATCTGAATGGCTATATGAATTGTCAAATTATCTTAAGATAATATAATCTTTGCAATTATTTTTGAATTAATTATGGGCGGGAGGGTTAAAAATTTTTTAAACATTTATAAGTTATTTAAAATGATTAGTGTTAACATTTTTAATCAAAGTTCCAACAACAAAAAAGCATATCAAAAACATGTTGCATTTGATTAGTGGAACAATATAAATTTAGACGTTGACGAAAATATAACCCTTACCCGTTAAGAGAGAATTCAATTAAAGGGTAATATTACATTGTAAATGTAAATGTTAGAAATGGATAGATCCAAGTCAAAACTTACGCCACAACAGATGGGAGCACGAGGCTGTTATAGAGGAGAGCACCGTTCCAAATGGCAAAACAAAATGTTTAAATCTTAATGTAAACGAGTTTGATTTATATAATCTACCAAGATTTTAAGCTAAGTTTGCAATTTATGGACAAATATTTTAAATGTTAAATTTACTTTTTTTAAAAAATTTATTATTAATGGTTTTTTTTACTTCATAGTATATTACTTCAAACGGATAATCATACTTTGGTGAAAACGACAATAAAAAGATTTTTCTAAAAGTTGTCAAGATTAACTAGAAAAATATTGGCAATTCTAGCATAGTACTTCTTTTCTGAACGAGGATTTAGCATTGCTGGAGAAGTTCTTAGCAAATAAATTCCCTCATCCGTAATTTAAAGTGAATAATTTTTTATTTATTGCTGAATATAGTAATTTTCTAATTTATAAAACTTTTTTGTAGGGGTGTAGCGCTGAAACTGAATCATTTTTTTAATTATATGCACAAAAATACTAAGAATGGGCATATTTAAATTTTAAGTGGGCCGTAGTCCAGGCTAATTCGAGGCCTACTTGAGGGAAGGGACAGTTACCTCCAAAAAATTTTAAACCACCCACCACCCCCACCCCTCAAAAAAACTTTTTAAAAATAATAACTTCAAAGATCTGTTTCAAAATGACAGTTCCTTTTTTTTAAAAAAAACAAAGGATTTTAAAAAAAATTTATTTTGTTTTTGTTATTTTCTTTTTTACTCTTATAACGTTTTGAGAAATATTTTGATATTCCGATCCAATTATATTTAATAATAATAGTATATTTATATATATAAAATGTGTTCTTGCTGGAAGAATATTGGAAATTGGAACTCATCTTATCCTCCTACCCATATTTTACTATTTATTTTTTTTAAATAATACTAATTGATATCAACAATTTTAAAAAATGAAACTATTAATAATTATAATAAAGAAAAATTAATTAAAAAATTTAAAATTTGTCCTCTAAATAAAGTTATATTTTTATAGCTTAGTTTATTTTTAAAAAGTTTTAATTATCAACTTTTTTTTCTCTTCTCTTCTTTTTCCTTCTTTTCTTCTTTATTTATAATTTAAAAATGATAATTATTTAATGTAAGAAATAAGCAAGACAGTTATTGCCTGCAAAAATGAACTTAGATCGAAAGATTGAGCTATCAATTAACACATCTGGCGGATGAAGAGATACAAAAATAATAGTAAGAGATACATTTAACGATAATCGATGCAAAGTATAAGGAGACGTTTTAAATAAAATGTGATAAATAACTTGTATGATTGAAAATAATTAAAAAATATCATTGCAATGATGGGGTGGTTTTTAAGTTAGAAATCAGAAAATACATTCAGGGATGTCAGAGAAAGGTTCTAAATCTGGGTATATTAAAAGGCAGTCATCATATTGCTTTTAGAAATGACGATTAATGGGAAAAGGGAAATTTTTGATTCTGAATCAGGAGAACAAGAGAGTTTACCGTTATAGTGACTGAAAGTTTGGATAGCCATAATACAAGTTCAGTGTGCTGTTGAAGATTTTTTAAAATAAAGATGTGAGTATATGATTTGGATCGAAATCGATGTTCTCTAGATTCAAAATTTTGGGATAGAAAAACTTGGAAAAATTATGTAGAATATGTTAAACATGACGACGTTAAAATGACGGTTCATCAAATATGAAAACAATTTTATATGAGGAGGAGAATCATCAAATCGAAGTTTTAGATATTTCAGATTCCGTCATTAAAAAAATAGAAAATTTGGTACGGTTGCCCGAAAAAGCAAAAGCCCTGAAAGTTTTTAGCGTAAAAAAAGATTATAGCGCTGGTAGTAAGTATAAGAGATGACTGTATTAACACGAGAGAATAACAAAGGCATAAAAATAATAATAAAATGATATTGGCGATTTATTGGGAATAATTATTACAAAAAGAATAAAAGAACAAATTCGTGATAATTTGAACTTGATTTTCTTGCAAATTACTCGTCCATTGTTTCATGGGATTCAAGGTATCGTTCCAATATTCCGCGGCTTCTTCCTCATGCGCCACGTAAATTATATCTAATCCTTGATCATCCTTGAATCACGATAATACGTTTTACAATATACAACATTTATATATTGATAAAATAAAAACTAAATGATAAGAAAAAGGCTATATAAATATACCATAATTTATATTTTTCTTTGTCAATTCCACTGTAGAAAGAATTAGGAAGATTGTTTTTAAAATTTTAGGGGATCATTTTTGAGAGAATTCTTGAAATCGATTTAAATCATTATAAAAATTTATAAATCCTTTTTTTTTTAAAAAAAATCGTTTTTGGTCATCAAATTGGTTTTTACTGAATGATATGATATTTTTTAGACTTTTCTTATTAAATATTTTTATAAATAATTTATAATATATATACAGAATGTTTGTTTAGTTTTAAAAAATAATATATGTATGTATAAATGAAAATGCAAAATAATATTCGATTTTTATTTTTAATTTTTTTAAATAATTTTTAAAAGTTTTCAATTATAAAATTATTAACCTTTAGGGGGTGAGGAAAGGATGTTTTATCTTTCTCCTGTAATTAATAATTTTTTAAAATTATTAATTAAACCTTTCAGTTGGCAAATAGGAATGAGGTTGGGGGTGGAAGGGGGGGGGGTCAGTAAATTTTAAAGCATTATCGAATCTTCATTTCAGAATTGTTATGTATTGTAATATAATTCATGTTGAAGTATTAAATAGTAGATTATCTATATAAAAATACTTATGTATTAGTTTGTAGTAGCAACATAAGTATCTATATGAGTGTTGGAAAAACTCTTCATACTACTGAAAATTTACCATAATTTAAAGCTATTTTAATATTTTTTTATAAATGAATCTAAATCTCAGATAAATTTAAATTTTGAAAATTAAAAAGATATTCTTCTTTTTTCATAATAAATACAATCGCTTTATTTAAATTAGATTTCCAGATCTGTATGATGATGATAATGTGATAGCTGCTATCGTTCATCCTAGTTTCAAGTTAAATTGGCCATACATTAATTTGACTGAATCTAAAGGGCAATTTGATAGGCTGATGGTAACGTTAAAAAATGTCATGCCTAACCACGATACTAATACTATAGCAAGATAGAAACCGCGGCCTTCCATAAACGATTTTTTTTAAATAATAATAATAATATTAGTGAACCTCTAGATGCTTTTTTTAAATATAAAAATACTCCTTTAAATATCTTGATTTTATAAAAAGTGTGTTTATTAAATTTAATACTGCGTTGCTCTCAAGTTCTAGGGCTGAACATATTTAGTATGGCAAAGCTTATATTTCCTAATCGTGGCTCTAGACTTGGGGAAGACAGTACAGAAATGTTATTATTATTAAAGTGCAATATTAAATAAATTATATATATATGTAACAAATTATAGTCATGTTTTTATACCAATATTTTATTTGTGGAAATAAAGTTATGTAAAAAATATTTAAAAAAAAAATCAAAATAGCGTAAAAAGTAGCTAATAACGCGCTACTCATTTGAAAACGATAGCGCGCTATTTTTTTATATTAAAATAGTGGTAGCGATAGCGCGCTACTTTTAAAAAACGTTCAACAACACTGCTATTTATACAAGATAATATTTAAATTCATTTTATATATTTTTTATTTTCTGATTTATATATAACCAAAAAACGTATATGCTTATATATAATTATTGTGGCCAACAACTATTAATACTTATAGTTGAATAAATCTAATTATATCTATCTAAACCCTCGTATTCCAATGCTAATACTATAGATTTCATATATGGTGGAACATAGGGGCATGTAGTATTGTTAAATAATATCAAATATCCTTAAATTGTCTTCCATATTTATAATATTCAATTTATATAATATGCTTAACAATTTTAATTAACAAACTTCATTATATTTTGCGACTATGTTATTTTATATAAAAAGACTTGATTTTACACAATACTTATTAATGGTAGTTAAATTAATATAATTATATCTCAATCACGTATTCCAACGTATATACTGATTTAGATTAACAAACGAACAGCCCATATCAGACCTTTATCTTCTTATGCCTCGAATATAATAATATTGTATTCTTAGTCATTTTACTTATCAGGACAATGTTTATATATATTTTTTAACTTATTGAATAATATATATCCTATATTATTTGGTTTGGTTTATGATACAACATAGCAATTATTTGAAATTTAAGATATAACTATTTCATTTTTCCTTTTTTTTATAAACATTATAAATTTTACTCACTTTTCTATTATACTATCCATAATTTATTAATTGTTTATTTTTTAAAGAATAGTAATATTTCAAACCTATGTTTTGTTTTCAGAAAGTTTTAAAACACTCATAAATTTTATCATAACAAATCTATATCAAGAATCTTTCTTATTGTTAAATAATAAATTCTTTAGTGTTAAATTGTTTCCTTTTGTTAAATATTCTCTGGTCTTAAATTGCCTAAATATTTGTTCAACGAAAAGTTTTTTTTTATTATTTTCACATAATTGAATACCCAGATATTGATAGCATAAATTATAAAACATCTAAGTATAGGAGATGTACAAGCACTGCTTAAGTTATCTTATAAAACGTAATAATAATTGTTTTGAAAGGTCTAAGAACTCTAAATAGTATAAAAAATAATATTTTATCTAATATCTATAGAATAATCTGATCCAGTTTTTAAACCTCCCATCAATTATTGTTATTAAATTCTTAAGATATTTTTTTTTATTTATATTATATAATATATTTTAAAAAACATGTTGTTTTTCATTTCCAGTTAAATAAAATTCCCCTTTTTCCTATTTTAATTTTTCAAAAATATTTTTTCGAAATTACTAATATATATTTAGTTTTCGAAACAACATCAAATAATGAATCTCTACAATGTATCAGACCTTAATTGGACAGAAACTGAAAGCAATTATAATCGAACAACGATTCAGTTCAAATTGATAGGAGCGGAGATTATTTTCGCTTTTCATGGGATGTTAGGAAATATATTCATAGCTTTTTTGAATAAGTTCAAGAGAAAAAATTCCCAATATTTTTTGACTCTGCTACAACTGATAAACATCAGCAATTTTTGTGTTAATTTTGTTTATTTCTTCTTTTGGATATTGGGTCAAATATTAATTTCATTATATGATAAATTGATGGTTCTGATCTTGCTCATGTACCTGTTTTGCGCTAAAAAAATAATATCCACGACTTTGAAAGTATTTCACATTTTACTGATAATGTCGTTGAGTCTGGAGAGATACATGATAATAGGTTGCTTTCAAAGGTACAGAGTATATTTCTTGATGAGAAGAATGAAATATCTTGTGCTGCTCCTGATAATTATAAGCATCGTTGTAATATTTCCACTTTATCACATATACTTTCAACTCGCTCGAGTTTTCATCTATTCAGTAAATCACTTTGAAGACCTTATTTATAAGCCCTTACAAGCAAATGGATCGTTTATCATCATAAAACCTTTAAATATAGAAACAGTGCACACAATATACATTCATTTGGAAATGATTTTTAGAACAATCTTGCTCATCATGATGGTATGTCTTTTCTAAGACTCCTATTTTTTTATTATTTTTTTTTAAAATTATTTATGATTACCATTTATTCTTAAATTGTCTCCTTCAAAAAGAATAGAACAGGACCGATAAAATTTTGTTAAGGGGATGGGTAATATCATGTTAGATAAACAGAAAAATTCGGGAAATTGTCGCATGTATTTGCATATATTACCCTTGTATGAGGATAAAATTGAAATTTTTTTTAAAGATATGTCATGGAGGTAAAAGGCTCTAACGTATAAATTTCAAAGATTAATGTAATGGATATCAATGAATTCCATTTTATGTGTATCATTTTATGTAGTATTCTCACCCTTAAGCAAAACACCTGTAGGAATACCCCGATCTCCCCTACAACTACCAAAGTATACATAATTTATAATGAGTGCAAATAAAACGTAAATAATATTTGCGTGACTAAAATTTTTCACAATACTAACTCTTGGGAATTATTTTAAAAAAATATGTTTTTATTAGGGATGAAAAGAAGACAAACCAAATTTTTCGGTTTTAAAAAAAAAAGAATTTTTTACTAATCAATCCATGGCAAAAATCTAATTTAACACCATTTTATTACGGATATTTGATTATTATAATCATCTTGAATATAATCCAAAAAATATCTTGTAAAATTTTTTTTTAATTAAAGGTCTAAAATAAGTGTGTGTGTGGGGAGATGGGGGGGGGGGGGTAGGGGTTGGTTGTATACTTACCCACTGCAGGTCTCTAATCATAATCCTTTTGTAATTTCTTCCTCATTTCGTTAAATTATATTATTAATTTTTTTTACTTTAATTCCTTTATATATATAAAAAAAAATACCAAGGTCATGATCAACATTGCCTATAAAATGGCAATAACGAGATTCGTGTATAAAAGGAACCGTTCAATAGGCTCCCGACAAATTCTACTCAGAGAAGGTAAACGGAATCAAACGTTGCTAATGTTGTTACTAAGTTTCCAATTTGTGTGCTATCTCCCTGTCCTTTGCTATTATATAACGATATTTTTTAATTTCTCAATTAGGTACATGGAAAAAGTGGAATATTATATATCTCTTTCAGAAACATTGTATTATTCTACCAGTTTTTACATTTATGCCATATACGCTCAACGCCGTGGCCATGGGGTTTTTAATGAAATCAAAAGACTCATCCAAAAAATAAAGAAGAAATTTACAAATTCTATCACACCTGCAGAACATCACCCAGAGCAGCCAGCTTTGTAATCATAATTTTATTCGCATTTTTAGAGATTATTTTTATATCTCAATTCTTTTTAAGTATGATTATTATTTTCTTTAATTTATATTATAATTATTCCTCCTAATTAGTTAGTAAATATTCAAATTCATATTCCAAATAGGGTACATAATATAATATAATTTTTTTTTCATTCCATCTCTTTAAAATCATATTTAACAATAAATGAAATGTATGATAAAATATTACAGTTGAAGTTTTCATTAGATTTTTATTTATAAATAATATAGTTTTTGAGTTGCTGAAGTAAAATGATTTTTTGCATCAATTTATATTGACGAACTTTTTTTAAAATTTCGATGCATGGTTATCTTCCTTGAATTTATAAAGAATTAAGTGTATTTCCA